TTTATGCCATCTTTAATTGTTTAAATGTAATTGATGAAACTGAAACACATTTATCCTGAGACAATAACATAACATGCACACAAAATAAATAAAATAAAAATAAAAGGATGTGAAAACCTCACTCGAATGTAAATAGTAAATTTCCTCCGTTTTTGTCACATAAAGATATAAGGCATTGTTTTTTGTGCCGAAGTGCATGAACCGCATGTTATCTGTAAGATAATTTCCTTCTTACTGAAAAAGAAAACGGGGTTGTATCAGCAGATTAACTCCAATCAGGTCAGGTTTGATTATTTTAAAGTTGATCAAGATGTACATAGACAATCACACGTAGCTGCTCAAAGGTGCATAATTATGGAAAGCTTTGGCTCTGATGGAGAACATCGCCAATAGAAGGATTCAAAGGAAGCGTTTGTTCAGAGATCATATTGATCTGCTGGGAAATGTTGATGATGGTTTATTGTCCTTCAGCGCGTTACCAGTGCAGCTGGAGCTGCTGATAGATCAGACAGTCATTCTTCAGTCGAGCCATGCCAGCCTTATGAATGTACCTTTATGGACAGAAAGCATCTATATTCTGCAAATTTGCAATTATACACATGATTCCTCTATTTAGAATAAATGTCCACATACCCAGCTCACCGTAAAGGACTCTCTGGCACGCTGTCTTTAAGTCTGCTGTTCAAACAAGCATTTCCACTTGGATCTCTCTATTTTCGTTTTTTTTCTATTTGGAATTTTTTCTTTAAAATGTAATTTTTATTTTTTGTGAGGTGACATGATGTGCCCTGAAAGCACCTTATAAATAAAATATATAATTATTATTATAAATACTGATACTACTACAAGAAAGGACCATTACCATGGTTATTGCTTCTCTTGGTGGCAGTCTTCCAGGTATTTATACAAATTTATATATGTATTTATGGGAGGCGACAGGGTGGACCAGCAGCTGCCCTATTTCCCTCTAACTGGGATGTATAAAGGAAAGGTGTGCAGGTATGTGCGTACATATGGCTTTATGAATCAGAATTTTTTTTGTGCACCACACTTGTCTAAATTTGTCCGTGTGAAAGCTGCACACTCTTTTATAAATGAAGCCCCTGGAGTTGAAAAGTTCTTATAAACTTCATAACATGTAAAGTGTTTTGATCAATGAACTGTTTATTTAGATGCATGTGAAGACGTGTCGAAGTACTGGGTTATCAACATCAGAACCAGGGATTCTTTGTAAACTCTTCTTGAGTTTATGAAGTCAGCCTGTCATACAACAACAAAGTATCTTCAGAGACTTCTTATGATCTGCTGAAATATAGACAGCTACCTGTCTTGCCCACCACCATCAGCCTCTACAACAAGTCTGAAGAAGACCATTATTGTTACGCTTATTATGGAATCATTCCAGCCCAAATCTCAACACAGTAGTGTCCAAACATACGTGACGAGCTGTGTGGTATGTAGCAAAATAATGTATGTAGCAAGTGTCGCAACAGTGGACTGGCTGGTGTTAATATAACACATTATTTCACATTTGAATTGCTTCAAACTGTAGTTGTTCTAATGTAAGAGAAAAGACAGAACACCTACTACTGGGTCAGACCAAAGAGGACATCCACAAGGCTCTCTGCAATATAATAATATAATACTATTGTGGAAACGAGTTCCAGCAACTTGAAATCCGTAAGGTACCTGATCTCCAGCATCATTTCCAGGGTAGTGGATCTCAGCGGCCATTAAAGGTGCAGAAGTCTTTGGTCTCTGAGCAGAGCAGCCTTTGCACTGGAAAAATCTGGTAACAGATCGCTCCTCAGGGTTCCAGATGGCATTGTATGCTATATAAAAAATTATAAAGCAAGTCATTTTTCAAAAGTTTCAGAATAACAGAAAAGAAACTAAATTATCAAAAGTTCTCAAATTTTCTTATTTAGTTACATTTGAGTAGAAGTTATTTATCTGTAAGTCTAGACTGTTTTCATCAGCTATGCTGTTACTCAAAAGTTAAACTCTGATCACAGTAGGGCTTCAGAGCGCCCCTCAAGGCCTTTAGAGACGAGGGGCTTTGAACTACCAGCATCCAGTTGTCTGAGACTGGTGGGGGAGGTACACACCGACAGTGGCAGGTGTGGGCCCCGGCATTACATCTGAGTTCTCTTAGAACAGCTAGATGGTTTTTATTACACACATCATGCTGGACTGAGACCAAAAAGCAGAACAAACATTTAGGCTAATGGCATTGCTTTGGTTTAAAAGACTGACAAGAACAGAACCGTTAAAGTACCAAGTGCATCAGGAAGTAGTTCTTTTCCATAGAGAGAACAGTAAAGTTCGAAAGAACATGATTTCTGTGGGTACAGAATAAAAGTCAGTGTTAGACATTATTGTTTGACCAAAAGCTGAAGCCCAATAGTTTCTTACTTACCTTTAATACTTTAGAGGCTTTTATAAATCTTCTGAGTTTTTGCCTATAAGATCTTCGTACTTTTACAGCTTAATTGAGAAAAAAAGGATTAATTTACACTTTTTTTTTTTTTTTTACTTTTTCAGTTATTTTTGACATGCTGCAAATGAACTTCAAGGCTAAATCTTGCCAGAGGGTGACCCATTCTTGACTTCCTAGTATTTTTATAAAATTACAGTTGAGAAATTGTGGCACATTCTCAGGGAGGTTCAAATCTGGGGAGGCCCCTGACCCTGACAGGTCTAAAGTATTGGTGTTTTAGAGTCTCAATATTAAAGGCGGCATATTCACAAGACAGGGCTTGAAACTGGCATATGTCACTTTCCACACAAAGGTTGTAATCTACAAAAACCGGGAGAACATGACTCATGACCTCTGACCCCGACGGACATTGGTTTTGAAGACAGGCAAAACTGGTGACCCAGATGGTGAGGTGGGGAATTGAAACCACACTGCATCATGATTCCTCTGACATTTCATTTAACTTCATATTAAACTTATTCATAGATCACCTTTTTCATAAGTTTTTAAAATCAGAAATGTTATTTATGTTTCTAGTGATGAGCCTTAACTTTAAGGATCACTAAAAAAAGGCCTATTAATCAAATCAATCTTAAACTCTGCTCAATTCATCAAAGTGTTTTCACTATAGCATTATTCACTCTGGCTGATCACCAGGGTGATGTGCACCATAGATTAACACATAAAATGTGACCAGTTGTCAGAATCAGACAGACAGCTGTAAATATGGGAATGCTGTGGTGACACTTGTGCATAATGCTGCATGATGGATGCATTGGCAACTGGGAGAATCAGGAAGGAAATTATAACTATTAGAACCTGATGTAATGATGCAGTCTTCCACTATAACCTGCAGGGAACAGGAACAACATCCTTGGTTTTGGATTCTTCAGTGGCAGAATTCACTCACATTCAATCACTAGGTGCTCTGACTTACAGAGAAATTGTGGTCTTCTTCTTCCAGATTATGGCTCCAATAGCACTCACTGGAACATTCAAAATGTTTTTGAAGGGGTATCTATTTCTATAAGGATGTTTTACAACTGTCAGATTTTTTTTGCAAGTCTATTAGCTTTCATAAATAGTCCAACTCTGTGCAATAATTTAGTAATGACAAACCTTCTCAAGCCCATCAGTTAATATTAAACCAGCTGATATTGACCTACACATAGAAACAGAAATGCTTTCCAAATACTGGCAGATTTGCTCTGGTTTCCTTGGAATTCTGTGCCATTTTGCACATTATTCTCTTCAAGTGTTCAATACTTATTCCATCCAATATCCTACTTCATTACACATAACTTTATTTGAGCACCAATTTGCTTTGACTTCTTTGTGTGTTTGGATTACTCAGGTTGTTGTCAACAATTGCATGTCAATAAAAATATTAGAAACATATTTACTAAAAGCAAACAGACATCTTCAATGCTTATTGTGCCAGCTGTAGATATAAACTAAATCCTCATTAACAAGAGAACTAACTGTAACATGAGCGATGGAAGCAAATCATTTTGAGACCAATAAATGCATCCCAGCTATAATTTTAACATTATTGGCATATATATCTAATAATGTTTCAAATTTTGGTTAAGCCAAACAAATACAAAAAATTTACCAGTTATTAAACCAGTTCTTTGACTAGCACTTATAATCCCTAAAGCTAGTTTTTCTACATTTTCTGTATATGCAAAAACCAGTGTGTGTGTGTGTGTGTGTGTGTGTGAGTGTGTGTGTGTGTGTGCGTGTGATTAATCATCTTCAGAAAACTTGAAATGGGAAATATTTTTTTAGTAACGTTATACTTTGTGAAATTGTTTCATATGCAATTTTAACACAGTGTCTCTAAGTGCAGATTTAATGCTCTGGCTGAAGAAAAGTCTGAAATATGTTAATGGAAAAACATTTTAATTGCAAACCACAACTGAGACTTTGAGTAACATGGGCTGCCCATTAAGAGCTTTTAACACACATTCGCAGATCTCTCTACGCTCTGAGTTTTCATTATGTTAACGAGAGGTCATGCACGATTACACCGACAAGGGTCTTGGTTAGGCAGCTGATGAGAAAAGAAAGGCTTTAATGGAACACTTGTCTCCTCTGCGCAAATCCCACATTGGTGAAGATTTTTTGTGTAATGAGAAGGATCAAATCAGGGTAATCATCTTTTATGTTCATGTTCAGTCTTCCTTCCACTCAGGCTGTTTGATGAACCTACATTTCACATCGACCTGATTTAATGACATACACTCTTCATGCTGAAACACTCAGATATGGCGCTTAAAGTGCTGATTAAAAGACTGCATGCAACATCACAGATGTGTGTTATTTAAAAAAAAAAAATTAAAAAAATTAAAAAAACTGTAAAGCCCAGGGATGTCCTGATGTGATGCCAGGTGTAGGCTCAGGTAGTGAAGCACTGCAGACTGGAGTCAAGACTTCTGGATATCTCACTACTGACAGTTCTGATGAGCTGTTACCTCAAACAGACAGTACAAAGCTGAGATTATTAAACTAGCTTTTATTTATTGCAGGTAAAATACTGTCAACTCATAACATCTCAAAACATCCATACTTCAAAAATCTAAAAAAAATCCCCTTTTGCAATATTCTGTTAGGAAATGTTTTAATGGGTAGTAACTTAAGAGACAGTTGTTTAAAATAGTAAAGACCCCAGATTGTTTTGTTACATTTCATTCTTGTTCTTTTACACAGCCAGACATTAGACATTAAATCTGTATTCATTCAAACAGTTTGCACTTAAATTATAATTATTGTTATCACAGAAAGTAAAGGAATCAGTAACAACTCTAATAAGAGTATAATTGGGAGAAAATACATAAATGTATATCTTCTAACATCAGTGCTACCCTAAGAACCCCAATTACAACCAATGAAAATAACTCAAAGCAGGGTATCATTTAGTGATGACATCTAAACAACTTTTACTGATTATATCTGTTTTATTTAATGAAAGCGGTGTTATCATTCATGTAGCGTAGGGTGGGTTTATTTATACTATTGATTTTCTACCCATAACACTTTGAAGAATTTAGAAGAAGAAACAGAAAAAAAAACAATTAAACGAAATAGTAAAATTCTACTTTAGCTTAACTTGCTATTTATCAGTATATTCTCCAACAGTAAAACAAATCCCTACCAAACACACAGTGAGTAACCTAAAACTACTTAGAGTAAGATGGTCCTCCATTCAGGGTTCAATCGGGCATAATAGAGCTTCTGCTGTGTTCATTCATTACCTACAGACACATCATTAAATTGAACTACATACTTATTTACTCCTGCAGAAAATACACAAATTCCTGTTTGTGTATTTTAAAGATTTACCCAAAGAAATGTTCAGTTTATGCAGCAATCTTGATAATGTTGGTTGGTTTTGTTTATTTGAGCTGCGAATGGGCCTTAACAAGAAGAGCCGTCACAACACATGAGCAGCTGGCAAGAGACGGCTGTGTGCAGTGTCAGAGTATAAATTGCCTGAGGCAACTGCAACATGCTTAACAACATTAAGGGAATATAAACAATTTAAGATCAAACATGATTAAGAATCGAGAAGCAAAGACACAATATAACGCATACAATTTAATTGCATGGTTTGAGTCCTTTGCTAATATTTGGTGGAAACCTTCCTTCTCTGTAAGGATGTAGTGTGTGTGCTACTCTGTGTGTCCAGACTGGTGGTTACCTGCCTGACTGAGGGAAACTCTCTGTCTGGACCTGGACAGCCTGTGAAGTCTACTTCCTCTCTGTCTGTTCTGGCTCTCATCCTCCTCTGTTTTCTCACTTTGCTGCAGTGCCTCTGTGCCCTCTTTCTGGCCCTGTGATAGCTTTGTGCTTTGCTTACTGGCTGAAGCAACACTCTGTTCACCAAACGCAGGGGCTAACTCCTGGGATGGAGTGGCTGATCTCTCTGTATCAGGATCAATTCTGGGAGAGGACACATGGTTCTCTTTCGGCAGGTTTCCTTCATCCTCAAAAAGTTCCGGAGTATAGAAAACACTCTTGTCCTCATCATCATCTGAAGACTTTGCTGGTACTGGTGATTCACTTTTAAAGCCAGGAGGAGTGGTTATTGTGGAGACCCCCGGAGCCTCAGTGTTTTCACTGAGACAGTTTCCATCCGTTTGTTTAGTGTGCAATATTTCTAGATTCACTGGTGGAGAAGAAATCTGCAGGGCCCCAGGCCGGACGGAGCAGTTCACTGGTTTCGCTTTAAAGATGGGCATCTTTAGGTTGGTGTTTGTAGGGCTGATAGTGAAAATGTGATACAAATGCTGGGCTGAGAGTTGCTTAGCAGGAGCACTTTGCAGTCCCTTCAGCGGGTCTGTGCAAACAAAAAACAATTTCAAATTAGTTAACAGACCACTTGTTTTACTTTTTAACTAGACAGAGTGTCATGCCTGGGAGATAAAGATCCAATGTGGGCATACGCTCAATATAACCCAAACAAAGGTCAATGGGAATTAATTAAAAGCAACAGTCCAACATCTGCTCATCAGCTCGCTACAGCGCCACTCAGGCACGCAAAAGACCTTACAGTAATGAGGGGAGCGACTCTACCTACCCTATGTTACTCCCCACACCCTCTACCATACCTCCCCACCCCAATTCTGAGGGAGCCGGAGGGGTTGAAGGAGGTGGGCTGCTGCCTTTCTACCATTTCATTCACCACACTGAAATAGTCAAACTGCTTAACCTCCACATGAACCCAAAGACAATAGGTGCTCACCAAGGCAATGTGCAGACACACCACCTCGACACATTTTCTGCTGCTGATGTCATCCCTACACATATCCTGAGTGTAAAAATGGTTGAAATGGAATAATTGCTGTTTCTGTACAAAACATTCAGTAGTTACATTGGTCCAACTAGAACAAAAATACCCAAAACAGTAAAAGTGTCCTTTATTTATTTTCTGTCAAATAAAACTTATAAAACATAGGCACGTAGGTGTTTCAGTCTTTTACTGAATATGAAAGTATCAGTCTGATACTTCTATTCAGTATCAGACTGAATAGAAATAGAATCCATTTGTTTTTATTCCTTGAAATAAAGATAATGAAAAACAAAAATGATTACAGAGCATCAAACTGAAGTTAGCAAACATTTGCTGTTTTTAAGGTATTGCAATCAGTCTTGATTGTGCATACTTTTTCATTTTCAAACAGGCACATCTTGGGCCAGCTGTTGTGTTGACAAAGTGAGAAATACCATAAGTGCTTTCCTGTTTAACAAAGACCAAACAGATCCTAGAGAACAGCAACATGCATTCATCTATACCTGATCTCCAGCTGTCATTGGGTAACAATGACAGCTGGAACAGTCCAACATCTCCTCATCAGCTTGCTGCAGCACCACTCTGGCATGCAAAAGACCTTACAGTAATCAGGCTAGCCACTCAACCTAGCCCATGCTACCCCCCAAATCTGAGGGAGCTGGAGGCGTAGGTCACCAGTCCATCACAGGGCAACACAGAGACACACAGGACAAACAACCATGTTCATACACACTCACACCTAAGGACCAAAATAATGACACCAGTTAATCCAACATGAATATTTTTGGACCATGAGGGACAATAGTAGTACACAGAGAGAACCTGTGCAAGCACATTACATAGAGAATGTAGGAAGGACCTGACTGCTATTTGACTCCTACAACCCTACAAGGCAACTGCTGCTGTGCAACCTGTGGTCGGCTCTCTATGAGCTAAATTCTAAGAAACAAAAAATCATAACTAACAGTGCGCTGTTTAATTGTGTCAAAAGTTAAACTGAGAGACATTCACAGTAATCCCCACAAGAAATATATCATGCAATTATGACAATGAAAGACAACAAGGCCTGTGGGATGGATAACATTTCCACTGAGCATCTGAAAAATGCAAGTAAGAAACTCTGTACATTACTTTCTATGTGTTTCACTGGCTGTCTAGTACATGGTCTGTTACCTAATTCAATGTCATCTGTCATACTGGTACCCATTATTAAAGACAAAGTGGGTAAGATTAGCTAACATATCGATGGGGAAAAGGCAGACTGAAATAAACCTTTTAAAAAACCTTTTAAAACAACTGAAACATTTTTCGGTATTCTGATTATTGAAATTTAAAAGTGCTGTGGTACCATTGTTCTATCACACCCGTTTCATGCCGGACCACTTACAGCACCGGTGTTAACGCTATAAAATTAACGCCCTCTATCGTGGTATCACCCATGGAGGGATTTCTTTATTTAAATGGGTTCATTTAAAGGGAGGGAGGGAGGGAGGGAGGGAGGAAGGAAGGAAAGAATGAAAAAGAAAGAAGCTCCTGCTCCAACCAGTTTGCTTCAGTCTGAGTTCCCAGAATGAATAAATTTTTTTTAGCTAAATTAAACAAACAGTACTGTCCAAATATACCGCTTTAAACTTTAAATATTGTACACGCCAACCTGTAGTGTCAATACAAGGTTAATGTGGTGAACAGGATCAGCATTCTGGACCCGTTTAAAGAGTTGCTGGGAGTTTGGAGTATGCTCTTACTCAAACTGATAAAGATAGAAATATGATAAGGCTGAACCATTAGAGTATGAATTACATGGTCTTTTTTAAGTTGTTCTGAAACCGTAGCGTATGAAAAAACTGGAGCTCATATAGGTATATATGTAGTATAAAAAATTCATAATACAATTTTTCCAGTATGAATTTGGAAAAATTGGAAATTATATTTGGTACCTTAAGTATTCTAAAATTCTTTTACAGCTCTAAACATCCCAACATGAACCAATGTGTGAATCTCATCACAAATCCTCCAGCACATCTTGATATTGAATCTGTGTATCCTCTTCTCCGATCCTTATATTGCTTTCCTTTCATACATTAATGTCTTTTCATACCTTGATAGTTATTCAGTTAATTTGTTCCTTTATTTATATTTGTTATGTAAAAGTGGCCAAGAAATCTTACTTTAGTCATATCAGACATGATGGAACTTCAAAGATACAAGATAGAAAAACACAGCAGTAATCCTGGTACAAATGTTGGGTGTGTAAATGCCTCATTAAACAAAAATGTTATGTTTCCTCACCTGCTGTGTTATGGTGTTCAGTTTTCAGCTGTGTGATTGTGTTCTGCTGGGAATAAGAGGGTTTGTCAAATGAACTGGTTCTCCGAGGTTCTGGTTCTCCACTAAAACTCTGAGCCGACACAAACAAGGGACTATTTTCAGACAAATCAGAAACGCTGAATGCCAGGCTGTTCACAGGGGCCACCTCCACATTCTGCTGCACCTTAGTGAAAGCTTCCAGAGACTGCATAGCATTGCTGAAGGTGTTGTGATGCTGGACAAGCTGGCGGACCCATTTAGACAAACCTAGCATTGCACAAACAGACAAACAGCAGAGGTAACCATCTCAAAGAGTCGCTCAGTGGATAAATATTGCCATCTAGTGCTCAAACTGAAAGGCTATGCGAAACTAAATAAATTGAGTTAATCAGAAACATTCAAAACCTGCAATGTATTTATTAGGATTATTCTTGTATCGGTCATCCACCAGAATCAGGGCACCCCAGTCATTTCTGTGCCGGATGCATCTGTAAAATAACATAGAAATATGTCATTACAGAAGGAAGTTCAAATAGCATCTTTAGGACAGAGTGAGGCATTTACCTCCCCAGTGCCTGGTTTAGGGCTCTGTAGGCCTGGATCTCATACCAGCGATGGCCTGGAAGGAGACCTCTGGACTTGCAATGCTGGTCATTGTATTTCATCTTTAGTTCCACCTAAAAATCACATACAGCACATTTGTTACATGATGTTTGTTTTTTACTATTCTAGAGAGAACACTTTACATTTGTATATTTAAGCTGCACCATTAACTTTTATAAACAATATGCTTTTTACATGTCTCTTAAATCTGTCATTGTATCCTGACAGTTTTTTGTGTGAAAAAAATAAACTCCTCTCCTTTCTCCCTGTGGTCCTACTGCCATGTGCAGAAATACAACGCTTCCTGTCGCAAACCAATCAGACCCAGGAGGAAAGTCTTAGTACTGTCAGATACTCTCGTGTACATGCTGATGGTTTTAACAAATGTATAAAAAACATATTGTTTATAAAAGTTGCACGCTGCAGCTTCAAGCATTGCACCTGGCATCTAATAAATCTGTAGTTCACCTTCATTTTCTTGTAATTATTTGGACAATCTGTAATTTACTGGACACAAAAATTATTAAATATGCTAAAAGAATAAAAACTTTCATGATGAAATTGTGCATGTACACTATAACTGTTGAATAAATTATGAAATTAAGCAATATTACAGTTCCAATTCAATTTTAGTAAGGACACTAGAAATTAGTCATTCATAGTAAATTCATCAACAGAATCCAGTTTGACCTGCTTCAAATACAGTTCCAGTCAGATTCATCATAAAATGTTAATAAATACTGGTCTCTGAGGTATGTTTTAAAGTGACAGATTGCATTAAATCTTTACTTGGATGCAGTCCTTTGTCTTGAGTAGAAACAACATGACAGTGGTGAGGAAGCATTGTTTGACAAGATAACGGTTTAAAAGACAGGACATAGATAGACATAGAGACACTGATGGGGCTGGTAACAATCTCTTTATTGCATAAAGTTAGTAAACATAATTGTGAATGTTAACATCAAGAAGAGGGAAAATATGAAGGAAAATGCTCAAGCTATTCTGGCCTCCAAACAGCGTAATCTCAGCCTAATCTCTAGAAATGGTTGTTTCTCTGGGTTTTATCATCTTATTAAAATGGAAAATTTTAAGTGCAGTTTTAAAAGTAATGTGTCTGCCTCACAGACAAAACCAGGATCTGGTTACACAAGAAGAGTAGACTGATAAATGGAAGTTCAGCTTTAGATTCTTTCAGAAACTCGAGGAACTCATAAACCTTAGTGTGAGAGCAAAGTGATCTGCAGGGAGCAAACAGAATTACAACCTCTTTAAAGAAGGAGTTTGCTCATTTGGGTTTTTATCTGCAAGGAGACTTGATCTATTTGACAATAGCAGAGCTTGTCCTGGTTCACCAAGGTTCCGTGATTAGTTTGAAGACAAGAATTTCTGTTTTGTATTTGTTTTTAATTTAGGAGTTAGGATAAATATAGCAGATTATCGTCAGCATAAAAACTGAAATTGTTTCCATGCCATTTATGAATATAGCCTAACAGAAGAATATAGAAAGGAAATGAACTAGTGAGATAAAATCATAGCCTGATGGGTTACATTTCCTCAGGTCATGATTCTAACAAACTGTTATATATAGTCACATTAAACACAGTGAAGTTTGCAAACAAGGTTTTATCCAAAATGATTAACATGCAAGATGAGACGGAGCAGTAGGTGGTCATATAAGGTCTGAAATTGTGAGGTACTACCTGGCCTCCCCAACAGCTGTTTTCTAAAAGGAAAAAACAGCAAAACAGAGGTGGGAGGAGGCAGGCAAGATGGGCCAGGCAACATCAAGCATCCCTGCACAAAAATGCCAAGAAAGCATCCATCCATTTGCATCTGTCGCTGCTGATTTTGGCGCTAACCTTTCAGAATTGACAAGTGAAAAGTTCAGCTGGCGTCTGACGAGATGCCATGCAGGGCAGGCTGCTGAGCACAGCTCTAACTGCTTTTGACAGGTACCGTGTGTTCGCCCAGAGCCACAAAACACGGGGCCGCGGCAGGTACACCCTGTCCCCTCACACGCATCACGCAACACCACTGTGGCTTGCCAAAGATGCTATAAACAAATAAGCAATCACAGGAAATCCAAAAAGTCAGTCCAAAGTTTTATCACAACTGATGACACCTCAGCTAAGACGCTGTAAACCAGTAGACAATGGAAGCTAATGTTTGCTAGCAGATTCAAAACAGTAGCAAAGGCTGTCAGAGGAAGCCAGACTGTAACATACAAAGGTTTAGAAACACTCCTGGCTTGGTGGTGAGAACTTTGCCAACATGTGAGACATCAGAGCAGTTAAAGAATCCACTTCTCAAGCCACAGAAAGGGTGCTAGCCTCAAGCCAGCGGTGTCATCTAAATGTAATCACAGTCCACTTCAGCATCAGAGCCATCACATTCCCGGTCTCTACCATGTCACCGTTCAATCCAACATGACAGGTTGCATATGTGAAAAAGCCAATTCTGGCTGCTAGCAAATATCACAAATGTGCAAGAAACCACAAGCTAGAAGGGATTAGTTAAAATGTCAAGAGATCACTCAGCTGGCTTTGGCCTTGTCCTCCACAGCAACCTGTTCATTTCCACAAACATTTATTCGTCCACAAGGCATGATTCGCAGCTCAGCGCATCTGCCTCAGCTACGTTTTACGTCGGGCGTGTGTGCGCGTCAGCGTGCACGCCCCTGGCGGTCAGGGACATCTTGTGCCTGTCACTGAGATTGCTGAGCGCCTCAACTGCCACATGTGGTTGAGCTGACAGCTGAGAGGCTCAACTTTGAGACTGTGAGTGCTCTTGTGTGTGCCCACACTGACAAAGGTATTGGGCTATCACGCTCCTTTCCAATAGACCCATGGATCAGCTCACACTATCTGCACAAAGTCATACTTTGTCTTCCAACTCACTTGTTGGTATATGAAAACATCAGTGTATAGAAAATATAAAAATATTTGTAATGAAGGTTCAACCTAAAGATATCAGCTTAAAAATTTTGACTTCATCAAAATTAAGAACTTCCTTAATTTTGTGAAATCAATTATCAGCCGATACATGTGAAGCTAATCTTATACAAAGGTCTAAAAATCAAATACTGTCCTCTTTTGCTCTGCCATGAGAGAGGTTTGACTGATAGACCAGCTCACCAGGTCATGTCTGCACATTTGCAGTTAATAGTAGTCAGCTCACTGTTGCCAACTCAGCAACTTTCTTGCTATATTTAGACCACATTTCAGACAAAAAAAAAATGGGCATACGCTATCGGAATTGGCAAGTCAGACTTTTTAAAGATCTGTAATTGGCCAGAAAACTGTGATTGGTATGCCCCTAACCAGAACATTAATTCTTTCACTTTTCGCTGTATGAAACAAGATGTACTGAGAATAAATATTTCACACAGTTTATTTGAAGTTTTTAGAAAGCAAACAGACGTCACAGAGTTTGGAGTTTCACTGGACGTAGCAAAGCTCTCCCTCCTGCTCTCCTCCTCTCCGTCCACCTGGTGGCAAGTCAGGAGTTGGAGTAGCAAGCGTTGCTAAGGTGACTGGTGAGCATTGATTGATAGTGTTATTCAGCTTTAGAAATGTGTGATTACTTTGCAATGTGGACACAGAGTGGAATGGGTCTGCTCTGCTCTGACTATTGGTGAAGGTATGATGTTGAACTGATGACTGTGTCAGACTGACTGAAGAGTTGAGGAAGCAGGAGAAGCTAATGGCAGCTAATGGCTGCTCTTGCTGCTCGCTGAAGACAGACAGGCTGCCTGCAACCGAGCTGCAGAGGGCTGTCACCATAAAAGTCTACATCAGCACAGATATAAACAGAGCTGAGATGCCCTTAGTGTAGAAATTCAGAAATGTATCTTCCTTATCCATTTTATTTTTTTTTTGGCAACTAAAGTATGGATATAAGTTTCAACCAGTTACCAGCATCACCACATAAAGAGCTTATGAAAATGTGCAGTTTCAAAATGCTGAGAATTTCCATCATACTGTTGTTTTAAAGTTATTTTAAAAAGACACCAGCAAAACTGCCTGTGTGACCAGGGTTTCCTCTGACTGTATGGAACAAAGAGCAACACAAAGTCTCTGCACACCACTGGTTATCTATGGAAAAAAAAAACTTTTTGACTCAAATTTGGGTCACTCTAACTAAAAATATTTTCATATCTGTGAGTATGTAAAGAAGCATTGTAGATCATTTCAAGACAATTTTTTTTTATAATTTATATGCTAAAACTGTGTTTTTTTGTTTGTTGCCTCAGGGCAACATTGCGCAGTTATAGGGCCCTTTTGCTCAGACATTATTATTGTAATGCGATGATATACAATTTATTACAAAATAGTTATCACAGCCAATTGTTTTACTTTATTATTGACTAACAGCACCAAGCGATGGATGCAAGATCATTTCATGGACAAAAGGTGCATGGTTCATAAGTTGGGGTCATTCCCAATGAAAACATGAGGATCCACTGTACAACCATTATTTCATTGTTTGTGTTTATCCTCAAAACTGACTTCAGTCCCAAAGAGTGATGAGCTGGTCATCAATGAACAAATGGTCTCATTCCAAGGCAGGTAAAGACTGAAGCAATACCTGCCAAACCCAAAAATATGGGTCTGGAGGGTACTTTGTATGACTGGTGTAGAAGGTGTTCCTTACAACCTATACAGGGCGAGCCGTGCAACCACCAAATCTAACAGATATGGGAGCTGGTGGAAATTTTATCCTTTGCTTGGCTCAAATTCTACCAAAGAATCAGAACTACAAACTCTTATAAAAAGAACCTGCAGCCCTAACTCCAGTCACTGATGTGAATCTGGTCACTACAACCAGATAATAGATAATCAGATAAACAGATGGTGAGTCCCAGGTTCGCCAATAATCAAGTGCCAAAAATGTGATACACACTTTTTTTTCACATCAGCAAGCAATTCCTTCCTGATGTTTAACATATAACAGGGAAAAAGACTGATTTCAACATCCTGAGTGATTCTAACTCCACCAAACATTACACATGTACAAACACACAAATGCTCGTTTTAGTAATTTGCTCAAATGTACAATTCATTAATGAAAGTTAGTTGTTTGTTTTATATTTGGTGAGTTGGATGTCTGATTTATTTTTGTCAAAAAAAAAGGTTTTTATGAATATAGTTTTTATTTTATTTGTATTTCACTTCTCATAATCACTGTAGAAACCTTGGCGTTTTAGAACCCTTGTAGCACAATGTTGCCCTGAGGAAACAAACCCAAATCCAGTTCCGGGAGATGTCAGGGCCCAATTTTATAATTAATATGTAATTAAGGGCCACCAAGCTCCCAAAGAATGCAGGAAAATATTTTTTCCCCAAAAAAATAAAAAGTCATGCCATAGAGGGTTAAGTCAATTTTGAGAAAAAATTATTTTGTCTTTAAAAAATAAATAAATAAAAAACTCACCACCTCTTGTCAAAAGTTGACTTAGGCCATTATTTATTGAATCTATTGATATTGATCGTGTGTCTATTGTGATACATATTGTTATTGATTAATTGTTCAGCCCTAGTGCATACTATTATATAGCTTTATATTCACATTCTAGGTATTAACATGAGGAACAGCATAATAATTCTTTATGTCTGTATTCTCCCTGTCCTTCTAAATATCCAAGACATGCCTCCACATCTGGTTTAACCATTCTAGACCGGAACGTGTCGCTGGCGACACATCCAAATTTGCAGTACCATAATTCCGCCACACTTGGCGCTATCTGAAAAATTCCAATGGTTTCTGAAAGGGGAGACATTGCACTTTCCAGCCAATATCGGGTTATTACGGTAATTTCACAGCTGCAGCTGCAGAGAGTGAAATTAATAGACGGTAAATTGCGAAAAGTGACTTGCTGGATATTGAAAGTTCCAGTTGTTATGGATAAATGGGTAAATATATAATCTCACAGGACATTTAAATAACTACTTACAATTAAAATAAGGAAGAAATATATAGGCAGACATTTGAAATTCAGGCGTAAGGACTGGCCACTACATCTGGAGCAAAGGCTGACCTTTGATTTTTGTGGTAGTTTAAAGGGATTAGGGGTGAGGAACAGCAAATCACACACTAACCGCTGCTGCAAATACCTTGTTGTTAAGAAAACAACAGTAGCAAAACAACAGCAAGCAAGTAAAACCTGTCACAACATTAAGATATTTGCTACTACATATAGCGACAAAACTCTTTGGTAATGACTGCTCATTCTGCAGCTCATCAGTATGCTTGACAGCAAGTTGGAACAAGTTGTTTAAACACACATTTAAACACATTTATTTCAATAGCTGAGATGTGCTGAGGCACATCTCAGCTCATAAAAGAAATGACAGTAATTAAACACAAGTGATAAGCAGATTTTCATTTTAACCACAAATTTCAATAGTTTTCTCTGTACCTGTGTTTATCCTCCAATAAAAAAAGGCTGTGCACTGGTTGGTTTAAGCGGACTAGCTGCATGGCCTTGTGGTCATTAGTATCAATGTCCTCCTCATCCTCTCAACAGTGTAACACGAATGGCTCACAGACCTTTGCAGCCCATGAGGGCCTCTCTAGAGGCAACACTACCTCTACTGCTACACAAGGAGACACGAGGAGGCCAAAAACCCTTTGGACACTTAAAAAAAAAGAAGAAATGAAAATAAAAAGACAGGGTGTAAAATATTGTTGGGGTGTTTCTTATGATGCAACCTAAGCAGTAGTTCAAAAATACATTAATCTTTACAAGATAGTAACTTAAGTCCTACTAAGAGACAGAAAAACATAAAAAGGATTAATTACTGGTAGCATAAAGAAACCCAGAATGTGGGAAACCCAGTGTTAGATGAAAAAAAAAAGTAAAAGCAAAATGCATAAAATATTTTTTCCTTTGAATGAGTAAAAACAAAAACCTGAGGATGTCACCTTTAAAGACAACACAAAGTTAAAGCGCTAGCAGTCACCACCTGAACCTACAAGCTTCACAGTTATGACAACAGTCAACAAGAGATAGCAGGAGCTGGCAAGCTCTCTGTGGAGCTCTGCATGTGCAGCACATAAACACAGGCTGTGGATGTGAGCACAGAATATGTCATTAGAAATGTACACTCTCTTCACGCTCGGTCAGCTCCACCTTGGTCCTAACTAGCTTTGGCTTTCTCAATCCTCCCCCTGGTGTTCTGTGCCATCCACTCATTTCCTGTTTTTTCCTGTCTGTCACACTGGAACATCACATTTTGATACTGTGCATTGGATGTTTTTAATTTAGTTATTGTGTTGACTAAATAAATAAAATAACACAGTAAAATGGCAAAGCTGAACTAAATTATCTTAAATTTTTGATACTATGAGAATACACTCCTTTTAAATCCGTGACAGCAGACTAAACAGGTAATGCTGGCATTACTAAGGCCAAAATTTGACATTACATTACACCTTTTAAATCCATGGCACAAACATGGGTTGCCTGTCAATCATGTGCATTTTGTTGGAAACGTCCAGCTGCTGAGGAGTGGCTATGGATTTTAATGGTTGGGTTAAAACATCAATAACTACTCTCACTGTGGACCCATATTATCAAGGGAGTTTAAATATTTCACCAGTTTGGGTATTACAGGAGAGTTTCAGTGACCCATGATGGTTACTTTTCAGATCAAATTATTTCAGAACTCAATAATGACACAAAAATTAGATGAACGCGGTTATGGTGAAACTTTACCATATTTAAAGTACATTTTTCACAACAAACTCAAATGTACTAAAATAAATAAACAACAATGATGATGCATAACAGAAGCAATGACCCGAGTGCTGACAACTAAGGTGAAGGGCTAAAGTGAAAGGGTCTAAGAAGCTTCAATCACCAACACGTCCTTCCACGCTGACAGAACAGGTTAGTGAAAGCTTCATCGTGCTCTGACAGGAGGATGAGTAAAGGGGAGGAAAAGTAGGAGGCGGGGGAGCCTCAAACTTAAAGGTCAACTTTTCTACTAAAGATGGAAAACACACCGCAACGTCGTTTGAGGCTTTTTTTTTTTTCACAGATCACCAAAAAAAGATGCTACTGTGTACCTATCTAAGATGTTTTTCCCCAAAGTTGTAATGTCAAATGTGTCAGATCCTAGAGCCTCCTGAGACAATATTAACATGTTAATCCAGTTTTGTTTCAGGTGAACAAATGAATGTTAAAAACCATGCAACAAATAAAAAGGTAAACTAAGGGAGTAACTTGGATGTCACTTCCTGTAATAATGGCAATATGTACTGAACCATTTTACTATAATTCCAAAAAGATTTTAACTCTTATGCTCATGTTGACAGATGCAGTAATGTTTCCTCACCATATCTTAGCACTCTAGCTTTTGCTCTAGCGTTGTTGTTTTTTAATCTTTCCTATCTCACATAAATTGTATTCTGAGTTGACAATCCAGCTGATCTTATTTACATATTCTGCTTTTCCTTGGGAAAGATCGACAGGTTTCTTTGAGTCTACTTGCCTGGAGGTCTTTGATGTTTGGAAAAGGAATTCCAATGGTCACTACTGCTCTGGCATTGTCATCTGTGAAGTCTAGGCCTTCACTGACCTTCCCCCTGCATACAGCAATAAGTAGTGCACCATCTAGAAAAGAAGCAAAGTTCCAATCAACACAGTACAAATAACAGCAAAGGCCTGAAAAAAAAAAGAAAAAAGATAAAAATATACCACAGTAGATGAGCATGCTTCCTGAACTAGTTATACTGTACACACTGCAACCAACTTTCTCTTTGGGGGTGCAATGATAATCATTCAGCAAATAAATTGGTTATCGGTTGATACATGTCAACCTGACCTTATCCACTGATCTTATTTGCCTCCACAAAGATCGAAAAATCATTCACTGTACCCTTTTGCTCTGCCATAACAGAAGACTGACTGACCAATTGACGTGCCCACCAGGTCGTGTCTTGGTTAAACAACTTAGTAACTTTATTGCTGTAAATACCAACTTTTCAGACGAAAAAAACATTGGTATCAGCCAAAATCAGAATTGGGAGCTCAGACCTTTTAAAGATTGATGATCGGCCAGAAAACCCCCCAGTTCTGATGCAGCTACACATCATCAATAACATTTTACAGTAGGAGTCACAACTGCAAGGTTGGGCTAATATACTTAAATACTGTCATGAATGATGCTAGTAGTTTAAAGTCAAGTTGGTAATGTGTGTCACTCTCACCTCGACCTTCACAAGTTTTTATGGCATCGTAGTACATTTGAAGTAGCTCATCAAAGTCCCCCTTCCCACCACCGCGGGGCTCTGTGATGACAGTTTTCTCTTGGTCCAGCTTCTCCCACAGACCAGTGTTGACCCAACGGTCTTTCAGCTTGTCCAGCATCTGTTCAATTAAATTGTTTTGTTGTTTTTGCCATTGCTAAATGGTGACACACTATCTCAACAGATGATTTCTCTGCAACACAGGTCTTACACTAATGACACCAATCAGCAGCTATGTTTACATCCACAAAATTCTTTGATTGGGTTGATTTAGTACAGAAGCACTGATATGAAGATAGGTGTAAAATTTCCTTTAAAAAACAACACAGAAGCTGTATTTCCATCTGTGTCGAACATCAAAACAAACAGATGTAGTAGTGTGTTCGTTCTGAGCGCCCAGAATGGACCCACACCAGGTTCTAATACTGGTTGAGACCTTACTGCACACTAAGGTTTAGCTTCGATATGCATGGCGTCTAGCCACTGAAGGTATAAATGTGTCATGTTGGCATAGGACACACATGCACCGTCAGGTCAGTTTGCCACAATAAGGCTGATCAGAGTCAGTTTCCTTCTGATTTGCCTGACTATGATCAGGATAATCCAAATGGGGTGTTTACATCATGCATTTTAATTCTGATCAACAGTTTATTCCAATTACTTATGTCCATGTAAAAATCAATAACTTATTTGCTCTTTGTTCAGAGTAACCACAACAGGAGTTCTGAAAGTATCTATAAGTTAAACTTTAACCTTTTAATATTGTCTTATCCCTCCCAGAGTTTCATGAAATGGGGTCATTTAGACTCTATGAGTCTTTTACTCTGTGCACGGTCCGGCAGGGTCACGTTGACCCTGTGTGCGCTTCTACAAAGTTTTCTTTTGAGTGGTTTTGGAAACTGACCGTCTGACGGGGCAATCACTTCATTTTAAGCCAAGTTAAATCCATATCGTTTTTGTGATATAAGACGTCGGTTGTAAATCCTTAAAAAGAATATTTTGATTGTATTTATTATTTTACTTTTATAAGCTTGTATGGGAGGAACATATTTAGAAGTGTACTGTAAGGCTGAACTTAACAGCCAGTGCACAATAGGACTTCAACACATTATCTAAATAAAGCCACATATTATATTGTTGATATGTTTTCTTCTCTAATCTGCTTATCATTATGTTTAGTCCAGTGCCTTCAAACAGTCTGAGTTTCTTTCCTTTACATCCTCCTAGAAAAGAGCTGATGTGTTGAAACCGTCCCTCCAATAAAAATCACTGCTGTTTGACTATTGTTGGTGCAAAAGTCAGCAGCTCTCAGGGGAGGCACATTGATCTAAAAGCCCTCTTCCTAGCAGGCCCCACTCATGTCTGTGCAGTGCAAATTATTCTCTTGAATAAACATGGCTTCACAATCAAAAAGAGGCTTCATTGGCTTGGAAATGTGCTGCAGGGGTCAAATAGAAGTTTCTCTTGTTAAGAAAACTTCTCAACATCCTCAGAGGGCCAAACTGTATAACTCTGATTCAGATTCCTATCAGAGTTTGAATCAGCCTTACCCTTCTTCTGGAGACAGAGCCTCCAGAAGAAAGGTAAGGCATAGGCAACCATATCTTGTGGCATTTACCTAGATAAACAGCCAAGAACCAGTTCCTTTGTTTTTTTACATAGATATTTATTTCCTTCTTGAACAGCTCAAGGCAGAACAGACAAGAACAAGTCTCAGGCACAACATATATCTACACAGTTAGTTCAGGTGCAACACAAATATGTACATACACATAAATTCATGGTTAATCTATCACAATGCTGTTTAGTATGGGTGCAACAGTGAAGTTTGTAAAGTGGAGAAAAGGAGTCCAGATAAATGAGAAGTGTCCCTTTGTAGAATGAAGAGTGCAGGTTAAGTATTCTAAAGTAAAAAGCTCCATGACAATTTTGTGCCAAGATGTTTTAGAAGGAGGTTTATCCCTGATCCACAACAAGAAGACGTTCTTATGGGCAGCGCAGATGAGGATATCATACAGAACCAGGATTAATTCTAATGTTCTTAGTGCCCTAAGAAGCCCATTATTTTAACATAACCTGACTCAAGGCTGAGGAGAACTTTATTTTGCAGGCTAACTATAATGTTGAGAAGGTTGAGAAATGAGATCGCAAGAGTCGGTGTTATTGCTTCATAGCAGTGAAATAAGGCATGAGGAGGATTTATTCAGGTTGGGCACTTCAAATATAAGTGAGGTCAGGATGTTAGCATCAATAAGACATGACACCTTGACTAAATATACAGTTGCATTGTCATAGACAAACCCCCATCCTGCCCTTGCACCTAACGTGCGTCTTCGGCTCAGCAAAGTGTCCCGCAATGGCTTTTTAGTGCAATCTTAAGTGGGACATGAATAATTCATGTCATGTACTTTAGGCAGATCTAGTGCTAAACAAAACAGCCATTATCTGCCAGGTTGCACTTGAAAAGAAACTAATTCCACAAGGAAATTAGCACAAAGGCAAATGTTCTCTCAGATAACACTGGGATCACATGGTAAGTAAAAACTAAATGTCAATGTTTTAGCATCACAGCAAGACAAATTTTGGTGTTTGTATTTTTCTCCACCATTAATATAAAAAGTTTGTGTGTGTGTGTGTGTGTGTGTATATATATATATATATATATATATATATATATATATATAAAATCATTGATTTTATATATATATAAAATCAATATATATTGATTTTATATATATATAAAATCAATATATATATATATATACACACACACACACACACACACACACACACACACACACACACACACCCACACACATGTTGAATATCCCTGATCTTAGATTGGAGCGATCCCCACGTTCTACAGCCTGGACACCAGATCAGTCTTAACACGGCAGGATGATTGGTAACAATTAAGCGATAATCTTAGAACATTTGAAGATTGTCAGAAGGGAAAAATCGGGACAAAAAAAATATTGCCATATGAACCAAAACACAGCAAATTAAACAGCACACTACAAGTTATGGTTGTCAAAGTTATGCTAAAATGACTGATATATTTCCCTCTCCCTATCTATTTTTCATAATTAAAAGTTTTTCCTGATTCCAATATGTCGGAGGAAAAAATTTTTAAAAATTATGAAGTAGTGTTGACAATTAGTAACAAAGCACTGCCTTACTTTTTCTTTTGCATATCACCAGGCATACATTTAAGATTTAGCGTGTTACATTAACTAAAATCAATGGTAGTGGGCAGAAATTTTTTGCCCTGCAGCAGTGAGCTGGGAGAGGGATCTTGCACATGTGATGTCACACTGCAACTGAAATGACTCAATCTTCTTGGTCTGCCCCCCCAACCCCATTATGGTAGGAAAACACTGAAGTTTATGTGTGAAACTTTAATAAACCTGAACATGTTTTCAAAAGACAACAAGAATGTCATTTAGAAGGGAATTTGTTTGTTGTGCAGCACTTTGAGACTTTAACAATATATTTCACAACAGAATAGTTTAGATGTCCATGCATCATGAATGTGAATGAGCAATATTTAGCACATAAGGGGCCACAAAAATAGTGAATAATTCATTATTCTTCCTAGTCATGCTAGGTGCAAGTCTCTGCCACTAACGCGCTAAAATGGGCCAGATCTCTATACCAACTGGGACCGGGTGGCGAAACAACCAGACAAAGCAGTGACCTGTTCTCTTTCTCGCACTTTTACACATCCCCTGTATTCAACCCAACCCCTCTGAACCCCCTTGATTTCCCCCACACCATTTGCCCCCTGCACATGTGGCCTCACTCTACCTCCTTCCCCATGTCCCTGGTGTCAGTGAGCAGTGTGGCAACACATTGCAGCTCCTGTAGTGCCTGCTGAATAATAGAGTTGCTTTGTAGGCGATGGCATTAATGAAACATGCAGCCCAGAGCCACATTTCACAGTGGCGAGGGGAGATGTGTTGTTGTGCTGTTAATTATTTAGCCCCAAAATATCACAGCAGCAGTCATGTCACCACTGGTGGCAAGAAGCCACCTGCCAACTCCAGTCTGCCACCCTTGCCTTTTCGTCCGCTCTACACATTGCAGTCCATCTAATGATAATACCAGTACACTTCAAATACATCACCCACTGCTGTGATACACAGTTTAAGAAAGGACTTCAACGCAAAAGAATAATGATGTGGACATGATTTAGAAATTAAATTTTTGTTATTAACTGTTTGATAAATGGTTATAGTATATAGAATATCAAAATGTTTGGAAATAGGGGCTTCTACATCTGTAAAAACTCCCATTTATTCATACATGACATTAAGTCCACACTTGTGTACTAAAAATTTTCTTGTTTGTATTGGTCTGATGTAATATTCTAATACTAAATACTATGTTTTTGCAATAAAATCATTGTAATAATAAAAATGCCTTAAAGATTAGACTGTCTGTAATTAACCTATATAAAGTGTTTCATTACAGAAGTGAGTAAGTGAAATAATGAAATTTTAAATATCAATATTCCAATATATGTGTCATATATCCCAATATATGACGCATATATTGGAATATATATCCAATATATGATTATTGTATTACTAAAATACTTTAGTAATACAAAAAAATATTACCAGTAAACGCCATTTGTCCTTCCCTGAAGGCTCCTTTCTTTTTTCAGTTTTAACAGTTCCTTTAGATCACTGGTGATCCAGGGAAGTGTCTCACTGTTCTGCTGGGAATGGTGTTGTCCACACAGAAGTATATATAATGGGTCACACACACATTGATGTCCTCTCCATGTGGCTGACACAGAGCAATCCAGTCTGCAGCCTCAAAACAACACTGTAGGGTTTCTTCAGCTTCCTATTACCATCTTCTCAGTTCCCTTCTTTACAGCTTGCCTCTGAATATGGGGTTTATATTCAGAGCAGAGAAAAATAAGTTTGTGATATGATTTTTCCAGAGGACATTTTGGCTTGGAAATGTGTGAATCTTTGACATTTGTATAAAACAAAAAAATTGTGTTCTCTCTGGTAGAGCAGCTGACAAATTGTTGAAATGTTCCAATTGTAGCAGAGAGTGAGGCATGATTCAAATATAACACCAGTTTTAAAGTCCCTACACTGGCTC